ATAATTAAAAAAACAACTGAAAGGCAAGTAGGCACGAAAGAAAGTAAGAAAGAAAAATCTATACTAACATTATAAAGATTGAAAGCGAATTTTGTTCTGAGGAAAATAAACTCCTAAACCACTGCCACTGCTTTAAGAAATTCTTTCACTGTTCGAAATATATATTATTAAGAGTAAGTTATATATTATACATCTTATTTTAGAATAATATTATATTCCTGTAAAACTCATAATTTTATACGTACCCGAGCGAAACTGGGGCGAGCCGCTAGTGAACAATAATAATAGAGTTTATAGCACATAAAACTGTTAGAATAATGAACTTGACTATTTTTTATATGCAATAGATAGGTATACATATATAATGCAAATAGAATTCTTCAAAACTATTTAACAAAAATAATAAATACATTCCATTAGATCGAAAATATGTTTGAAATTTGTTGAACATGCTATTTTATTATTCACTACATATTTATGATACTTCGACAGCAATTGATTTACATTTAAAACAACTTCTTGCAATAACAGGTAGAAATGAATAAATATGAAATAACAAAAATAACGCGAGATAAAGATATAAAGGTTTCTATGACTTGACCTAAATATACAAAAAGATAGAATAGAATGAATAAACAAATAATACTTGTGCTTTATCCTTTTTATTTCTAGTATTAATATTTATTTCGTCAATGAAGTTTTTTGAATAAAAAAAACCACAGGTAGACTAAAAAAATTGGCTACCTGAGACTTACTTCTTTCAGCAGCCAACCAGCTTACTTTACAAGCTGTGTTTCTGTTCAGGCAGTGAAATTTTATCCTGTATAAAAGACATGATATCGTATTCCTCTGGAATTATAACGCATGAGTGTTATCACAGATATCACGTCGCCTATATACATATGTTATTTATGTATATAAGCGAAAGTTACCGCTTGTCATTAGATAAACCTTTAGCTTGTTTGGAATTTCAATTTCATAAAAAATAATTAAATTAAATACTATATGTGGGAGAAGAAACATTCGAAATAAAACTCTATGCCAAGCAACATAAAGACAAAGTTTCCATGTCTATAAGTACCCTTTAACAGTTTGCAGAGTATTTTCATATTTTGAATAATATATCTCTTTTATATTTTACTCTCTAAAAACGCATTTACTCGCGGGAAATGAAATCTCGTAAACGCTAAACGAAGTTAAGTCGCCCAGACAAAATATTACAAGTGTATCTATTACTATAAAGAGAAAGATTCAAGTTACAGTTTGCAGTGGATAAATTGAAAATATACTTTGAAAATAAATAGATTTTAATTATACTTTCACATTTAAGTAACTAATAAGTATCTGTTCATTTATTTATGTCAAGTTTACTATTCAGCAGTTTGGTTCATACAGAATTATTATTTATTCTGAGCAACATTTATTTAAAAAAGCAATGCGTAAGATAGTTCTTCTTGTGAGTGTCCGTATGAGTGGTCGAATAAAAAAAATATGACTATTCAAAAGTGCTTATATTAATATATATATATATGAATAAAGATTATTTCTATTTTGTATATGTTCCTAAAACACTCGAAAATACATTTTTATATAATTTGGAGAACGATAACACTTGCATAAACATGTTCATACAAATAACGTGTCCCTTATTTTTCAAAGATTAACATATTGTTTTTATGTTTAAAAAAATGGCAGTGGAATTAAGATCCAATAAAAAAAGTATTTTTTTAAACCATCAAATAACTGTAGCAAAGTTAAATCTACGTCAATAAAATAATTTAGATAATTTATTCGATATAGCGTGAGGTTAGCCGAGAAAGAAAAAAGAACAAGACAGAGAAAATTAAAAGTCGACTGTGTTATTTTATAAAATTATTATTATGATCTTTACAATCATCTATATATATATAACTCAATAGGTGACTGCCATAGTAGATTATAGATCTATCAACGCACAGTCCAAACCACTGGACGGATCGGGCTGAAATTTGGCATGCATGTAGATGTTATGGCGTAGGCATCCGCTAAGAAAGGATTTTGATTATTTCTATCCCCAATGGCATCAAATAGGGGTTGAAAGTTTGTATGAAACTTTGTCAATTTTAAACCGATCGGGCTGAGACTTTGCATGCATAAAGCTACTATGACGTAACCATAGTAGCTTTATGCAAGTATTTTGATAAATTCCACCCGTAAAGGGATAAATTACCGCGAGCGAAGCCGCGAACAAAAGCTAGTTATATACATGAATAAAACCAGGGTGCGTCGTTATTCTATTCTAATATCAAATGTTATAATCAGTCTGATGTACTGACCGGATTTCAAATAAAATTCGATGTAAAAATAGTTTGTATACTGGGGGCGTCGGAACGGATTTACCAGTCCCCGTGATACAGACTATTTACACGTCAAATTTCTATCTCTATTTTTATATCTTAAAAATTCTACTAGACTAGTATAGGGTTGCCAAACCCAAATTTAAAAAACCAGGATTGCAAGTTCAAAAAACCTGGACTATCCAGTTTAAAAACCGAACGCAGTAATAGTGTTGCAATAGTTGTAAAATTCAAGTAATTAATATAATCAGGTTTTTAATAAACGGTATTTGATAAAATTATACTGTTAAAAAGCAGTAATTTAGATGCGCGCATATTTTAAAAATCCAGGACAATGCAAAATAACTGTTCAGGACTTCCCAGGATACTTCAAAAACTAGGACATGTCCTGGGAAAAGAGGACAGTTGGCAACCCAAGACTAGTATGATATAAAAATTCGTTGATTAATTAATTAGACCTTGTTATTATGGACTTAAGATCCATTTGATAATACCAAACTGTAACTATGCCATGTTATTACAAAAAGTTTTTCGACGCTATTCGATTTATTTCGATTCTATATTTAACACAGCGCGGTACAACTAATCGACTGTTCTTTGTTTAGTCATTCCATTTACTCGACGTGGCTGACGTCTCTATAATTTCACCCCTAGCATTAGCGTAGTGAATTTACTAAATCACTAATTATATAAACATGTACACATCAAGTTTATTGTTCTGATTGTTATCTACATGAGCAACGTGTACGGACACCGCCACTTTACTTGAATATTTAATTTACGACTTAAAGCCTTTGACAATAGTGTTTCCATTCGTTAACTTACGCTTTACCTTGATTTTCACACTAAAAATACACGCTATACACGCAAGTGTTAGAACGTATTATTCTACTGTATTTCTGCAATGTTAGAGACTGTATTACAAATCAAAATTTTTAGAAAGGTATATTATGTATGTATTTATAAAAAAAAATCGAAGTAGTTATTATTTATCTAGTACCCACAATACAAGCTCTGCTTACCATATGACTACATGGCGCTATGTTAATTGTCCAAGGATATTTATATTTATTTACTAGCTGTTCCTACTGTTACTTAATTTTATTATATTATTGTTACTTCATTTTTTTTAAACCAAAATAATTTTTCTATAATAAACGTAGCCTGTTATACGGAGTGTATTACATCAAAAATCAATAAAAGTCGTATCAAAATCGGTCCAGCCGTTTCAGAGATTAGCCGGAACAGACAGACAGACAGACAAAAATTGTAAAAAATATTATTTTGGTGTATGTACCGTATTTATATTCATATGCATGTGGTAAAAAACGGTTATTTCAATATTACAAACAGACACTCCAATTTTATTTATATGTATAGATATATGTTATATATAAAAAAAATTAAACTGGTATTACAGCATTTGGGTGTTACGTAGAAAAATTATGATTTTACATAAACCACGACGCTATAAAGTTTGGTAATGTTTGACGTCGACCTCCATCACACGCATCTGTTTGAAAAGCAACCTTTCATTTAAGCATGTTTTTTGTAAACAAGTTTTAAGGAAAATCTATACATCTATTCATATAAATAAAATTGGAGTGTCTGTTTGTAATACTGAAATAACCGTTTTTTACCACATGCATATGAATATAAATACGGTACATGCACCAAAATAACATTTATTACAATTTTTGTCTGTCTGTCTGTTTGTTCCTGCTAATCTCTGAAATGGCTTAACCAATTTTGACGGGACTTTTTTTGGTATGTAGCTCATGTAATTAGGAGTAACTTAGGCTACTTTAATTTTAGAAAAATCCTTTTATTTAAGAAAAATAAAGTAATGTTGCAACATTTCACGCGGTCGCAGTCTCGGATACAGCTGCTTAACAATATTACTATATAATTACGTATAAATCTAATTTCGGGCGGAAAAAATAATTTAATTAATCATTTCACAATGTTTTAATTATGTTTCATTATCAGTATCAGTGACCTAGATTTGATTAAACTATTATAATGAATTAGTTTCGTTATTCCTTACGATAACAGTGTAGCGTATAACACATTACATTATTACATTATTATTATCACTTTAATAGATCTTTCTCTTTATGTATGTATGTGAAATTTCATATAAAACATATCTATGTATTGTTTAGTAACTTTAGAACAAGCTCTTCTTAGTTACTAGATTCAGGGTTCTTTATAGGTAGACTGTATAAAATCGACTTCTAGTCATACCTATTTCAGCCACCGAGCTTTGTAAGCTGATTTTCGGTGGTAGGGTGCGATTAGGTAGTAATATTACAGATACAATTTACAGATTACAGAAATTACAGATAAAGGGCAGACTAAGTCCGCTGTAATGGCAAGACATGAGTGTTATCACGGGTGTGATATGATAACGTGATGCACCTAGCTTACCATTCTTATTATACAAAAAATTGCCAAATATTTTACTTTAACATTATTTCGTTATTAATTAATGTCATATATTTAGTTCATGTCACTCTATAATGTGCACAGGGCAACATATTTAGTTCAATTATATTTCGTTATTACTAAGTGTTCTATACGTAACTTATAAAATCAGGCTGTCCTACTCTTGCTTAAGTGATTCTTCTAACTGGCTTATCTGACTTCGGCCTGTTTTTGCAGCACCAGACGGCAGCACAGAGTTTGGTGAGTGTCTGCATTATTTCAACACTTCTCACTTCTGATTTCCTGTTTGTTATTCCTTCGCTTGCATACAGCTTCACACAGAATCCGAGGTATAGTCACACTGAACCCATATCTATATATACCTACATGCTATAAATATGGATATAAAACTCTTTAGTTTTTGTTTTATAAATAATTCAAAATAAAGTCATAGAGCAAGTTGATAGACAAAAATGTAAACAGAGAGATTCGAGATTCAAAATAAAGAACTTTGATAATTAAATTTAAAAACTCTAGAAATATTTATTTGTGTATTTAAATTAATAAATAAGAATACAACAGTATTTTACAATGATATATAGATATGATAGAGTTACTGAATTTGTTTTTTCAATTTTGTTTCGATATCGATATTATAATTTCATATTATCTGGTGAATTTTGTTTTAAAATACGCTCTTTATATTTAAAATAAACTTTCTTAAATAACTATATCAAGGTATAACTCGGTATAGAAATAGTGTCTCTATTATTTTAAAATGAAATTGCTCAGCTTGAAATGCCCATTATTTTTGCATGAATCGAATAAACTTTTAACAATATTTTTAATTACCATATATTTATTATGTTTAAGTGATTTTGAGTGAGCATGCTATGCTTTATTTTACTATATTTAATAATTAAAATTTAACCTCGGCGTGTTCTTGGATATTTTTAATAATTTAATAAAATTTTGCTTGTTATACCTACTTGCATGGCATCGAGAAATACAAAAAAAGTATTTAATTAAAGTATGATTTTATATGTTTGACCGAGTCCAATTATTTTAACTTTATAATTAATTATTTATAAATAATATTAAATTCATATAACATATATTTTTCTTGAAATGAGGATTTTATGTCGATTTTTTTTTAAATATACACTTGTATTGGGAATTGAACCATTTGCAATAAACATAATAGTATAATAATCTCAGGACAATTCACACAGCGCCATTTAGACCCAAGTTAAGCTAGTTAAAGCTTGTGTTATGGGTACTAGATAACTGATACATATACATAGATATGTTTTTTTGTAAATACATATTATACATAGAAAACACCCAGACCGATACAAACAATCATACCCATGAATACAAATGTTTGTGCCGTGCGAGGAATCGAACCCACGACCATCGGTCGTAAAGCGGTGTGCTAGACCGCTAGACCACCAAGGTCGTCACATAAATAATGACATGTACATTTTTTCTTCTTCTTCTTCTATAAATATGAGAATTACAAGACTGATTATAAGAAGATATTGTATAGGTAATCCTCAACATTGTTAGTAAACCTTCTCGAATGTAAAACTAGACATTGCCCACGGTTTTGCATGGATATAAATAAGAAAACTATATAGACGGAGTGGAGGTATATGTGAGACGAACTTCTTAGCATTCCATGGATTCACCGTGCGGGTGCCGGATCAATCGTGTGGCAGAGAGGAAAACTCCGAGCAGTTCCCGGGACTTGTGACCCGGGTGTAGGTTTGAGAGCCTCTTTGCCGACGTACGTCATACATTCACCTTCACCGCTCATATTTATCTCCCTGCCCAGCTAATTTCGGTAGGATCCTGCTAGTGTTGCTTTAGATACCTAGTATTATTTTGTATGAATATTAATATGGGCTTCTAGGATGTTCCATACCATAATTTGATCTGGTCGAACGTACTCTGCTACATATAGCCTACGGCCCATGTGATTGTAAATGATAAGCGTCTCCTATTCCTATACATATGACCAGCAGGATATCACGTTATCATATTATTACATGTTATGTTATTACAAAGATATTTGCTTGTCAATTGAAATCGTAACTCATATAGGGGTACCCAGATAGAATTTATATAAGTAACAATAACGGTATATTACCAGTTGGAACTGTCAGGGGGCCAGCCTATAATCATCTTTTTAATATTTTTGGTGATCTGTTATTAGTGTTTTTATCATCGGGGTATCGTTGTAAAATATAAAATGACAATGTATTATCGCCAGATTTGAACTGCCGACCTTTTAGTCTAGGTCAGGACAGTAAACCACTAGGCCTCGATGCTCTCAATTGATAAATAAGTATATGGGTGTAAACAGTTTAAGTAGATTTGTACCTAAACTAGTAGAGTCACGCAACCTCGTCTGCTCTAAAAGAAATAAATTTTCCTGTTTTCGCATTATTTTTCCTTAATGCTCTGTTCCTGTTGGTTGTAGCGTGATGTTCGTATATTTAAAGCCTGACTAGGTAAATAGACTATCCAAAACTAATGGAATTTTTAAATTCGAACAAGTAGTTCCCGAGATCAGCTCGTGCAACTAAACAAACACTTCTTTAAAGTTTCATTATGTTAATATAGATTTAAACTACTTTAGTCAATGATAAGTCTGACAATTCATCCTGTGGTAAAGTATAAAGTACTACCTCGGACAAGTAGTTGCTGAGATTAATGCATTCAACCAAAGACACAAAATCTACAGCTTTATAATTTTAGTAAGCGTAAAGTAACGGAACGGTATAATCGCTTGCGCTAACAGTTTACGCTGGGGCGCCAGTGGAGGATGAAATCGTAGCAAATTCACTAGGAACTTATCATGATGGCTTCTAGAGGGCAGTTCCCTCCGTTCAGTTCCTAACATTGCTAGAAATGGATTCATGAAATGTGGGCTACATTTCAAACAATTCTATATCCAGTCATTCCTATAGTAAGTGGCTTCTACTGACTGAAAGTATAGGATTGTCTGATTAACTAGCTACTGACTGATATTTATGAAATATATTCTTCTTCTTCTTTGTCCAACCCATGTTCCCAGTTTATCTGGGGTCGGGTCTCCCAGTACATCTGCGCCAGAGAACTCTGTTCTGGGTTGTCTGTATATTAAGGTTGTCCTGGTCCATCTGCTTCTTAATATTATTCCATCACGTGGCGCGTGGCCTGGCCCTACCTCTGGTCGAGTTTGGTATCTTGAGCTTTAGTGTCTTTCTTATATTTATGAAATATATAAATAAGAAAATTTATAGTTGAGTAAAATACCGATGTTAAATGGCAGGTCTACGTTGATGTTATGAACCAAATCTTTCATCCATCAGTTCCCGAGGTCACATTAATCATGTCACTCACTAAGTAAAGAAGCTGACTTGCAGTTTCCGCCCCAAAATAGCAAATATTGCATTCATTTTGTAATATCGATTTTAATTGCATAACCGTAATATTTAAAAATAATCCTTAGTGTTCTAAATATCCTTTTATATTATTTTATTTAATTCCGCTATAATTGGTATGTATGAGACAATAAATATTCAGTGAGGAGACCTGACTGCCGTTACTAGAAGCGCTACGATGTTCTCTATTGGTATTAAATTCCGACCATTATCGAGTTCACACCTATATTGCGACACGTGTACCGTCTCTGAACCAGGCATCATCACGTATTGAATAGTGTTCCGATATAGGAAGTCCTTAACGCTAATTAATTAACTGTTAATTAACTGTCACAGTCTGACCACCGAACAGTCAAATCGCAGTGAAGCCCGTTGTTGAAAACTGTTTTGAATATCTCCTCTATTGTCTATGCTTTTTCTAATAACTATATTGTATTATATATGATACCAGTCGTTAAAATATTTGTGACACCGGTGCTTTTTTTTGCTCGTCTCCTTCTCGACTCTCCTTTAGGTATCGTAACTAATTCTCCGGGAATTAACCTATAATTAACAAAAGAGATCACGTGGAGTTCGATCTGGCATGATTTATTGTTTTCATATTAGTAAAACGGCACTTTATACCTATATTTATAGTTTATTAGCACTGTTATTATACTACCATGATACAAGTCGTTAAAATGACTTTATAATTATGTTATAATATATATTTAATTACAACAGTACCGTATTAATTGTCGTGACAGTTAATTAAGTTATAATTATATTTGAATGATGACCAGATTGGATGTATAAGGAAACTCAATTATTTCCAGCGTGTTAAATGTCGATCTATTGAACACGAACCCAAGCAGAACAATTGCCTAATTTTTGTGGGATTTGTTGGCAGCTCTACAATTTTCTTTATTACAGTTTTATAAGAAACTAGCTAACAGTCCCGGCTTTGCACGAGTACATATATTATGCATATGAACCTTACTCTTGAATCACTCTATCTATTACTAAAATTGCATTAAAATCCGTGCGTAGTTTAAAAGATCTAAGCGAACAGACAGCGGAAACAACTTCTTTTTATACTATGTAAAGGTATAATAATTTCTTAGATTTCTGTTGCAATAAATATCGTAAAAATATTAAAGTAGAAACACTGATAGGCATTGGTATTGAAAATAATATTTTATTAGGTTTTTGTTTCATGATAAACTGAAATAATTCTTAATCGATTTTAAAATATCTTTCGATTTTAAATTGTATATAGCTAAAATATCAGATAGATAGCTAAACCGCATTTCATTAAGAATAATATAGATCTCGGCACTAAGTTTTTTTTTGTTGGCGGTGGCAATCAAGCATACGGCCAATCTGATGGTAAATGGTTACCGTAGCCTATGAACGCCTGAAACACCAGGGGTATCACGTGCGCGTTGCCGACCCTTAAGAGACTTTAATATACCCTTCTTGAAAAGTATACGTTCAGACGTATATATTAGAATATGGGCATATTGATAGTTGAAAATAATCATAGTAATGTTATAAAGCGGTCTGTTTGTTTTGTTACCTATACCGCAAGTATAGCTGAGAATTGTTCGGATTAATATCAAATGCCGAATATCACCATCGCACTACCCTTCAGAAACTAAAATATCCTAATCATCTGAATGAATGAATCCTCCATCGTCCTTTTTTCCAGAAACTTTTATTGCCATGCACAACCACAATGACAGCACGATTTTATTTACGAATGGATATGTTATTCAAACGTTTAAAAGTTTATTCCTGCTTAAAATTCCGGCAACTTACTTACAATTCCTCTGGTGTTGCGAGTGCTCA